CCGCCTCGGCCTCCCAGAGTGTTAGGATTACAGGCATGAGCCACTGCGCCTGGCCTACTTGCTTTTTTTGATGAATATTCAGTTTTGGACTGTGTTTTGGCACTTCATCGTTATCCAACCATTGTGCCGAATGCTTGTGATTGTCAAAAAGAATCCATGTTTCATCACATGTCGCAATATGGTGTACAAATGGTTCTCGCCTTTATGCCGTGACAGCACAAAAAGGCAAGCTTTGAGAGGATTTCTCTCCTGACGCTCATTTAATTCATGTGGAACCCACCTATCCAGTTTCCTTACCTGCCTGTTTGTTTCAGATGGTCCAATATTGTTAGAATAGTAATGTCAAACCTTGCTGCTGATTCACACATAGGTTGAGATGGATTTGCTTCCACTACAGCTTTTAGCTCATCATTATCCACCTTGGTCTCAGGTCGCCCACATGGCTCATTTTCAAGATTAAAATCACCAGAAGGGAACTTCTCAAACCAGCGACATACTGTGCATTCATTAGCCACATCCTTCCCAAACACTTGGTTGATATTTCAAACTGTCTACACTGCATTGGTTCCACAATGGAACTCATATTTGAAAATAACACGAATTTTTGACTTATCCGTGGTTTCAGAAAAATTGTTCCAAGAATAACTTTGAAGGACAATCACAAGCCAAATTATGGGTTTGAAGGACTGAGGATGCACCTTCACAATAAAAACAAAACATGAAGTGTCAAAGTGAAATGTCAGAGATAGCAACTGTCAAACTAAGAACATAAGGAAATCGGACATTTCGTACTTAATAACCACAATCATAACATCACACGATCACTGATTGCAGATCACCATAACAGATGAGATAATAATGAAAAAGTCTGAAATATTGCAAGATTTACCAAAACGTGACACAGAGACATGAAGATAGACATACATGCCTGATGCTTGACGCAGGATTGCCACAAACCTTCAATTTGTGTTAATAACAAACACAATATCTGCAAAGTGCAACAAGGCAAAGCACCATAAAATGAGGTATGCGTATAATGTACGGGCAAGATTTGGGATGAGAGTCAGATGAAATCCTTTCCAAATCTACGATGGAAATTCCTTTGATTCCTCTGTGCAGAAACCAGTCAAATCCTGAATGATCTTGAACCAAAAGGAGTTGCCCTCCCTTTCTCTCTGTCCTCTGTAACTTGTGCCCACACCCTTGTCATCGTGGACGTGCAGTCGTGGGTCTGCTCCGGCGAAGCAGCAAGGGGCACATGGAGATGCTCCGCGGGGCACAGGAGGTCCGCCTGTCAGCTCCCCAGCCCTCCCGAGGGAAGGCATAACTTTAAAATACAAACCGTATCTTTTTTCTTTTCAAAAATGAACTTGTTTAAAAATACTTCATTTTTGATATAGGCAAGACATACCCGAGGTCCATAATTCAAAGTCCAACAGGTACAGAGTGGAAAGTAAGTCTCCCGTCCTTGACGCCAAGCCACCTAAGTGTCCCTCCTGGGAGGGCAGCCACTGCTCTGACTTCTTTTTTTTTTTTTTGAGACAGAGTGCCGTGGTGTCAGCCTAGCTCACAGCAACCTCAGACTCCTGGGCTCAAGCGATCCTCCTGCCTCAGCCTCCCGAGTAGCTGGGACTACAGGCATGCGCCGCCATGCCCGGCTAATTTTTCTGTATATTTTTAGTTGTCCAATTAATTTCTTTCTATTTTTAGTAGAGACGGGGTCTCGCTCT